TGGTTCATTAAAAGCCTTTATATCTACACATGTTTCTGTTAAACATGTAACTAAAAAAAAAAAATTGTGTATTGCTGTAAGTTAAATTCAAGGATTTCCAACAAACATATTTTTTATGCAAAATTCTACTATTCTCTAGCCATTATCACTCTTGGTATCCTCTGTTCCTCATATGCCTATTACTCTGCGGGAATTAGCATGATGCTGCTCTGTCCTGGCCTTCAGATCTTCACAGATAATAATCATTTTATTCCCAGTCCAGCCCTTATCATAACACTGCTCCTTGACAGTTAGTGATAGATGAATCTTCTATGGAGGCATAGTCCTGATTAAGAAAAATTCAATCTTCAAAAGCTTCAATGATTAAAAAGGCTCATTGGCATCAAAGTTGCCAGAGCCTTTTTAATCATTGAAGCTTTTGAAGATTGAATTTTTCTTAATCAGGACTATGCCTCCATAGAAGATTCAATTCAATAGAAGATTGGCATCAAAGTTGCCAAGGCTTACAGAATAATTTCATACGATGCAGCGTGTGTATTGGCTGGAATAGTTCCTATTGATATTAAAATCAAAGAGTTAGTCAAGCTAGCTTCGATCAAACTACTAAACAGTGACTATGGAGAAATTTTATACAACACAATAGAAAATGAATATGAACCTATAAATTGGTTATATCCATCAATGCATAGTTATATTCACAATTGACACAAAATACAGAAAGTAATACAAACATTACAAATATATACACAGAAATAGTAAAGATGGTAATAATGTAAGCTGTGCATGGATGTTTTAGGACATAAAGGGGACAAAAAGTTGGTGCCAAGTTCAAGCTTAGTGCTACATGTTCCAACAACCAGGCCGAAAAGTACGCAGTTGTAAAAGCCAAAGAATACCTTCTTGACCTTACAACTGACATACACCAAGATGTCGTCATACAAACAGATAACATAATCTTAGTACAATCGGTCCTAAATCCAAGCATACACGACCAGCTCACCCAAACTATCAGAAGTAACATTCATAAACTTGGGCTAATAAATTTCGAAATAAAAATAAAATGGGTGAAAGATCACTCTGGGGTCGAAGGGAACGAGATTGCTGACACTTTAGCAAAAGAGGCTGCACAAAGTGATCTACCTTTGTCATATGATAAAACCGCACTGTCTTACATAAAACATGAGATCAGAGAAAATTCAATTTTAAGTTGGAACGAACAATGATAGATTGCATCAAACAAATCATAAATACTATTAAAATGACAAAAGCTCTATTTATTATATCACTGGTTGATTATGGATTGTATGATCCATTAATTATGACTATTAGTTATTAAATTGCTATTTTCCATTGCAAAGTATATTAAAACGGAATTAAGAGATTTGCATTGTCTGTCATGGACAGGTCAAAAGTTGTCACACTGATTGTAAGTGGATTCTGTTGAAATATCGCAAAGAGAAAATTTATCCAATTATTCATTAATTTAATTTTTTAAAAGGTTACATAATGATTTTTCGGAATAAATGGATGATAAATACTTAATTATTTAAATATAATAACAGATCTAGAGTTATTAAACTACAGTAAATATATTTCAGGTTATAAATGTACCCATGAAATATTTTTATATTTTACTACTTCTTTCACACAAGTACAATGAAATAGTATTTTAAACAACGTCATTGTCAAGAATCTGTTTAAATTTAAATATAATATCAGATCTATAATCACTAAACTACTGTAAATGTATTTAAGGTTATAAACATTTACATGCTTAATACATCCATGAAATGACTTTATATTTTAATCCTTCTTTCACACAAGTACAATGAAATAGTTTTTTTAACAATGTCATTGGCTTGGTTAGGTAGATTTTAAATACATTTTTTAAACTTAAAAATATTTTAAAAGTTTACATTTAGTTAATAAATTTCATTTAATTTCCTTACCGTTTAATTCGTTACCTTCTACAACTTTCTATATTAGATATTGTTTTTTCTAAAATTCCCTGCTTTCCAACAATATATTATATGTACACCTGCTGACTAGTATTTCAGGAGATTCATTTTGACCTGGATAAGCATTTTTATTTTTTTCTCCTTTATTCAATTATCAAATTCTTTCAAATGTTATATTTAGCATTTTTTTGTAATTTTTAATAATGAGAGATAGTTAATTATTTGAAATAAAATTAAAGGTACTTTTGAGGAAAACCTATATGAACATTGGGCATTTAGGTCGTGTAAAGTGACATCAGCAGGGATAAGACCTAAATTATATTAAAGACCACTTAATTATACAATGATACACTGAGTTTAATCAAAATCGTTACGAGCCGTTTGTGAGAAAATTGTAAAAATGTTTTTCACCGTTGATATAAAGAGGCACTACCGGTTTGCTGATTTTAAGGAAAAAGTTGCTAGGACATCTAAGGCATATACTTAAATACGTAATACCAGTTTCGTACGACTTTTCGTTTTCGAGCTTGAGTATTCACATATACACAGACCATTTTTCGGGACTTGGTTATTTGGACTCAGGGTACATCAAAACATGTATTTCTGTTGAAAACTCACAACTGGAAAATTTTCATGATCGCAATACCCTTACTATATAATACATATATAGGTAAGTAAAAGTAAAAAACTGGCCAATGTCAGAATTTGACTTGTACAATAATTTTCGACAAAACTTATCAATTTTCTAGAATATGACCAACTAACGAAAAAATGAGTATAAATGGTAAGCATAACAAATATGATCACCTATAATTTTTGTATTATATATTAATTTATTACTTATTACACAGACCATTTTGTGGGAATCTCAAAACATGTATTTTTGTTAAAAACTCAGATTCACGAATTTTCATGATCGCAATAATTTTTCTTACTATATATTTCATATATAGGTGAGTTAAAGTAAAAAAATTGGTGCAGTGAGCATAGTCACTGACAGCTTGACGAACTGAAACTCCTTGCTGCATACACATCTCTGAAGAAGACCTGCAAAGTTGGGTCCAAAGGTTGGCTTGAAATAAAAATATATTTTTCACTATTTCAGTCTTTTTATGACCGCCACCCCAGGAAATTTCCTTACTCAATAATATACAACGGTAACCATCAAGTATTCAATTAATTACCACGTATTTCCCACCCATCAAATCTGTTAAATTTATACTTTTGCATCACTTTCTATTTCCTTTTAAAACTGTGTTCAGTATAAAAAAAAAATACTTATGATTATGAAGGAAAATGGATCTTCTAGAAAAATTTCAAGTTTTTTTATTAAAAAATAACTTCTACTTTAGCTTCGCTCTTTAATGCCTCTCAGCGTAGAGGAGCATTCAGCCAGGAATTCCATTCTTTCTTATTTCTAGCTCGGTTCCTTGCCTGTCGGAGGTCCTTCCCCCTCGCCCTACAGAGTCGCTCAATGTAGTCGAGATAGGACATCCTAGGGCGACCCCTAGGTCTTCTGCCATCTGGAACGGATTACATGCTCTTTAGAGGAGCTCTTTCAGGCTATCTGCAGTTCTTGATGAATCCTTTGATTCATGATGATGAATCATTGCAAACTTCGTCTCTCCTTGTTTTTTCCAATTATCCTTCCAACGAAATTTCATTTCGGCAGCAGTGATTTTGCTCTCCTGTCGGTCTGTTAATATCCAACTTTCCACTCCATACAAAAGTATAGGTAGATATACTGTCTTGAAGATGTGCAGCTTGACATCTTTGCCTACTTCTCTCTTTCCAACCACAGTGTTATATATCAATTTTGAAAATTAGGCATCATAACTCTGTTAGAAAACATCAATGAGAATGAGACTTATATTATATTTAAAACCGCTTAATTCTACTCTGATATAAAGAATTTAATCAAAATCATTAGAGCTGTTTTCGAGAAAAAGGTGTAAAATCGACATAATAAGTTACACTATTCGTTAGCCGATTTCTATAAAAGATTTGCTATAACATCCCAGACAAACCTGAGATGTGCAATTTCAGTTGTGTACGACTTTTCTTTTTTGAGCTTTTCACGATCATAATTCTTTCCCTAACTATATATTATGAATATAGATAAGTGAAAATAAAAAATCAGCTCAGTAATCTCTGAGAAAAGCAAGCCCAAGAGATGTTATAAAATTTATTTGGGGTATTGCAAACCACCAAGAGTAGGACAGAAAGATGTCATAGTGTGCCTTCTGTTCAAAAAGGTTTTAGAAAAGGCTGCACACAAATCCAAAATAGAGACATATGACATCATATTTTCCAGACATGTGGAGATATTGGAGTACAGTTAAGACATTGATTTCTTGAAAGGCATGTATGATTTGAGCAGGTGATTGAGGATCTATTAATTACTTTCAAAAGCAACGGCCAAGCAACTGATTGTAAAAAAAAAAATAACAATTATATGCAAGTTGGCAGTAATGAAAACCCTGTCCCATTTTTAAATATTGGTCTCAACAAGTAGATAGAAACCTTTGTATACCTACTGTTCTGAGGTAAAGGTAAACAACCAATCACAAAAAATCAGTAGTAAAACAGATTTAGTTTCTCCAGAACTAAAATTAACCAGAATATGACTCTGATATGCCTAGCGCTCATCTATTTGTCAGAAATAATGGGAACTACAGTGGAGGAAAACAGACTTTTAATATTTGATAGGTTAGTACAAAGAAAAATCTTCATAGCTATAGAGAATGAATATGGAGGAAATGAAATGCTGGAAAGCCTTACAAAACATTCACAACTAGAGAGCTACAGAACTAGATAGACAGTGACTTGGAAAAAAATTCATAACCAATCAAGTTTTATTAACCATGGCCTCTCAAGAATATCAATTAATAAATTGTTTTATTCAGCAATATTTATATTTATAATTTCCTCACCCTTCATACTAAATTTTCATGGGATGCTGTCAAATAGTTACAAATAATCTAATTGAAAAAAAAAAGAAATTATTTAGGGATAAAATTTAACTAAAAATAGGTTAGTTACCATCTTTAATAATTAAATCTATCTCTTCAAGAAGTGTAGTATCACCATAGTTTGCCCAATCATCTATCTCAAACCAATCTGGAGAGACTGGCTCCTGCTTCCATAATCCTATCTGTGTTGACATCTCCCACTTTCGTTGACTCACTACTGCTTAATGCATAAAAAAACGCCATTTTGGCTCTGAAAAAAAAATTTAAATTAGAAATAACTTTTAAAGAAACAACTGACTTCAAATATATTTTTATACAAATAAACTTATCACCAATAACTAGTTAGCTAAGTTCTAATTAGCTTTTAAGGTTTATTTCTGAAATTCCTCTAAAAAAAAATACTAAAACCTTTAAATAGAATACTAATAAACCTTTCTAGGTAACACATATGCTTCTAAAGTATTGAGTAATGAATGACAAAGATTATTATTTTATATACAAGTTTGTAACTTACTATCAATAGATAAAAGTTATTCTCTTTATTCATAAAGTAAGGTAAAATGAAAATTTTGGTTCATGTCTAAATTTCTAGGAATTTATATACAGAAATAAGCTACTATAAACATAATAGTTATATACGTAACAGTAGTATGGATTATTTGTTCGGCTTTTAGGAGCAACCGATTATGCCAAATGAGGTACCAAAAGAATGTTGAAGTGACAATTCCAATTCCGATCCATAAATTCATACAACTTTAATAATCATTGAAAAATTAGTAATTTCAAAACTTGACGGTTCTAGATAGTGCACATTGTATTTCAAAGATTTTGATGCGGGCACCTGGTAAAGTTCTTCCGGAACACACAGAGCCCTGGTTTTTAAAAGCTCTAAAATGCTGAATTTTTTTTTTAGATAAAATGTTATTGTTACTAAAGCATCCTAGATCCCACAGTTGTCATGAGATACTTACTAAGCATAATGTTTAAGTTTTAAAATATTAAAATTTAGAAATGGATAAATTTAAGACTGTCATTTTTAAATGGTGAGAAAGATAAATAGCAAAGACTTACAATCTAAATATGATTTATTGGGTATGCAATATTTCAGGCCAAGCATGTGGGTCATCAGGGCAATTGTTACTGTCTAGTCTGGCAAAAAGAGCTAAACAAAGGATATGACCATATTACTAGGATATTACTCAAATCTGTATTCAACTCTTTATAAGTGAGTGAACAACAAACCAAAGATCATTTTCTTTTGCCTAAAATCGATAGGTCCCAACAAGTACAACTCTGGGTCAGTATTTGGTTAAGCATAGTGAGTTTTATTGTTCAACTGAATACATCTTCCTGTAGAGCAAGCTAAATACTTAGTAAGTAAACTTCAACATAGGAATTATAAAATATGTAGCTTCAATGATCATGAGTATCGAAAAGACTTTCTTAATAGCGCTATACTGTTTGTAAAAATATAAATGTTTTCCTAATATTATTTATACTTCAATACTTCAAGTATATTAAGGAGACGCATAGATATCTAATGCGAGAGTTGGTTCAATACTTGACCTTAAATATTTTTGGCATCAAAATTAAAAATACAACAACTGTCCTTAATTTTAACAGAACAGTCCAAATTATTTTCTTAAATAGTTTTGAGATAAAATTAGATAAAAACCAATTAATGAAAACATTTCATATAGAAAAATTGATAAACACACCAAACTACATTTGACATGTCATGTCTTAATGTCAGTGACCAACAATGATTCTGAATCCTAACAACGAAATCGCACCTGCATCCCCAAGTTTGCGAAATTTCCAGACTTCTGGTGTTCCACTATAAATTTTAATAAATTTTTCAGGTCCAAAAAATTCTTTAACTTCAATTATGATAATTAAATGATTTAGTAGATACTAATCTTAATAACTAAGAATACTATAAGGAAGCATTTCCTCAATGGTAATGGTGTAGAAAGCATGAGACATTCTTCATCCAATCCCAAGGAGTATATAATGAAGACTAATTAGACTAAACAAAGTAACTTTTTTAACTTACCAATTATTATTATTATCAAGTTATTTTAACCTACCAATTATTATTATTATCAAACATAATACATACAAAATTATATCAATCTCATGTTAAATATCGAAATGAATAAAAAAAATTAACATTTTTGCCAACAATTTTAATCCCTTAACATTACAAAAAAGATTAAATTGTAAAAGAAAAAAAAAAAACTGGTACAGTGCGTGCATCATATAGAATTATAAGTATTTTCAGACAAAGGGAATTGAAAGTAAAAATTATAGATGGTAAGGAATATTACTTAAAACAGCTTAATTTTACACTGATATAATGAATTTAATCAATATCATTAAAGCTGTTTTTGAGATAATTTTAAAAATGTGGTAAATCGATAATATAAAGTGCCACTTTTGATTAGCTGGTTAAGACAAAAAAAGTTGGTGTAACATCCCAGGCATTTAAAAACCTTAAATATGCAATTTTGCTTTTGTACAACTTTTCGTTTTTGAGCTTAACTGTTAACCTCCATACACTCTGACAATTTTGAGCGAACCTCAAAACACTTATTTTCGTTGAAAACTATGATTCAAAAATGTTTAATAAATATATAGTATATACAATAAAATTTTGACCAGAATTAATGATTACTCAAATAAAAGATTTTTTTAAACTTTTTATTTTTAATATTATTAGGATTTATTTTAAAAAATGATTTAACCTAAATATCATCTCTTTATTTAGATGCTGTACTAACGGAATGTGTTATCATCATGCTGATTCAGCTATAAACAACTATTATCAGTAATACCATTGACAATACAATTTAGTTCCTGTAGTTGATAAAATATACTAGACATGGTCATCGAGTTTTATAGAAACAGAAGAACTACTGCAAGTTCAAATAAATACAACAAAAAATCTAACTTTTCTTTTTCGTTAGGAATTACCTTTACTAAGAAGCATAATGTGTAACGAAGGCTCCAGGAATAATCAATAATAATTATTTGATTATAAACAACTTCATTAACTTTCCAACACTCAAAGAATATAAATATTTTATGACAAAATTCATGAAAACAATTAGGCGTTACCTCATACAGAAAAACATGTTTTTCGGAATCTCAAATTAAAAACTTTCCACTTCATTAGATAGAAATGAAGTAAAGAAACAAATCTCTAATTTCCCTCATTTTCTAGAATTTCCTCCTAATAATATTGCAGTAATATAATGAGTGGAAGAAAGAGATCAGTGCCTAAAACATCTGTAGGGTGCACATGGTGCTTTGTAATATTCAATATATTACGAAGTAATAGAACAGTGTTGACGAATTGATTTTTTAAAAAAGTAAAAATAAACAGTAATTAGGCTTAATATAATTATACTATGTCTTAAATGAATTCTCTTGGATGAATACACATAATTCTAATATGTTTTTTGTTCAAGTAGCTATGAATAAAAGTAATATAATAACCTTGGAATAATCTTTGATCAAACCCTTTCCTGGAAAAACCATGTGTACAATATCTCCCGACGTACCTTTTCCACCCTAAAAAACTTAAATAGCCTGCGACACCTTTTTCCTTTTGAAATCCGTTGACTCCTGGTCACCTCCTTAATATTTCCCCCCTTCGACTATTGCTGCACGGTATATGGAGGCGTGCGTCTCTGGGGATCTCGAGGCGAAACTAAAACGTTTGATAAATTGCTTTGTACGATTCATAATCAGGATCCCAAGAGATGCCTCTGTTTCCTGTTTCTATGAAGAGTTGAAGTGGCTTTATCCTTCCTACTGCCTTAAGTATTTCCTGGCATCCTTCCTCTTCCAAGTAATTCACTCCCGCCATCCTTCATACATCGCCGAGCTCCTTCAATTTAAATCCTCTGTCCACTCCCTCAATACCCGTTCCCGGTCTTCAGATTTATATATCATTATAAATCGGCCCACCGAACCGCTGCTTTCGATAAATCTTATATTATTCGATCATCTTCCATATGGAACTCCATCCCTCCCCACATTCGTCAATCCAAAACCCTTCCTACCTTTAAATCCCAACTGTTTAATCATTTCTCATCCATCCAGTCCTCATAAAACTGTAAATAGTTACTACTGTAAATATGTATATAAATTATTGGATCGTTCTTTATTATTTTTACTTCATGTTTATTATCAATTTTTTATTATTAACTGATGTAAATTAGAAAGTAACTAATAATTTTTCTTATCATTTTTTTTTATTTATTTACTTTTTTTTTTTACTATTTAATCAAACTATATTCTTGATTATGTATCTCTGAGGCTCCTTAGCCAAAATTTTTTGTCTCTCTGTATTATTCTAAAAGGACTTGTCCTAGAATAAATAAAGCATTATTATTATTATTATTATAGATCAAATTTTTAGAGAAATCAACAGAATTTTTAATAAAAAAAGTGCTTAAAAATAAAATTCTGGAAAACCTTAACTTGGAATGTTGCTAGAGAAAAAGTCCGAAAGAACTGAAAAACTATCGCCAATAAGAATTCCAGGGATACTAAAACTTTTTTAAAATCTTTTTTTTTTCTAAATTATTATTTAATAAATTTCTTAATCTTAAGATGAAAACCCCAACAATTAAGAGAGAAAAAAAAGCTTTATATATATATATATATATATATATATATATATATATATATATATATATATATATATATATATATATATATATATATATATATATATATATATATATACACATTATATATGTATATGTATATATATATATATAATATGTATATATATACACATTATATATGTATATGTATATATATATATATAATATGTATATATATACACATTATATATGTATATGTATATGTACATATATATATATATATATATATATATATATATATATATATATAATATATATATATATATATATATATATATATATATATATATATATATATATATGTATATATATAAATTATAAAAATAATAATTTTTATAATTGTTGAGCACTACAACAATTAAGTTTCATGTGAATCATGACAAATGATATTAAAAATGAAAAACCAAATAATAATCACTCAAAAAAAATATAAAAGGATATTGAGCTAAATAATACATATTCATTTCAAGATGGACATCTGTCATTTTCAGATAGCCGAGAAAAAGTCAACTTTTGTTTTATAGACTCAATTCAAACTGTGATTTTATTGAAGTGATGATTTTATTTAAGAATGTTTAAGCTGAATTATAAAAAAAAAATCATTAGAATTAGTTTAAATTGAAGATAAGTTATAGAAAATTGGCTTTTTCTCAACTTTTTAAAAATGGAAGCTGTCCGTCTATGGTACGTCACTCATACCATAAAATATTTAAACTACCCAATATGAAAAATTATCATATTAAACATCCTAGTGTTGTAAACATTTTTAACATGAACCGTGTAAAATAAATAAATTGAATTAGTTCATATCTCTGAAATGTGTTCTATAAACTCATTTAGAGTATAATTCAACAAAAAATAATGATTTCATAGAAGGGAAAAGTGTATTATTTTAATTTTCCTTTTGCTAATCTACACTTGAGAATATATCACTACTACATCATCACATTAAGAAGGGGAAATCTGTTATCTACTCAATGACTCGCAATATCTATTAAAAACAATCAAGAACCTAAAATTAAGAATGTTAAAATTGTACCTATTCACCAGGGATATTATATTAATACTATTACTATTGCCTACAATACTGCTAATAAAAAAGTTATAATTGTAGGCAACTAAAATTTATAGATTGTAAATAAAAATTGGCCAGATAAATATGTCAATAATAGGTTATTTAGTTAGAAAAAATCAAATTAATTTATCATAAATATAAAGCAGCCACATAACATAAATGAAACTAATAATAATTTAATCTAATCAATGTAGCCAAATAAACAAATACCCCTGCAAACATGACTTCACCACTTACTTTTATAGTAAAAAAACGTGACTCCTGGCAAAATTCAATTCCCTGTCTCTATAAACTTCACAGATTTCGAGCTGTAAAGATTTGAAAGTAACCTTAACTTAATAACATATTGTAAAATTCCAAAATTTCCCAACTATAGCAGTAAAAACGAAATAATGGTTTATTTAATTAAATAAAAAATATGGTACATTCAAGAAAGTTTACACCATTAGACATATACTGTCACAGTCAAACTGATAACTATTCAAAAATACTTAACAATAATAGTATTTATTTTTAGAGTTGTACATACCCCATTTTTATAACTTTTATTTTGCACACAAGGTGCGCGGCGGCTGATGCCCCTTATTTCCCCATCTTCAACCAATATTAAACGGTAAATAATAATATGACCTGCTTCTTAGTGACATGAGGAAAGAATGCCTTAATAGATCGATTTCTCTGTTTCCCCCACTTCTTAATTTAATGTCGCCAATATCCATCCGCCTCGAAATTCAATTAAAATTGCATTTAAAAGATTAAAAGAAAGATTAGAAACACACTATTTATTGAGCATGGGGTATGAGGATTATAAATTCATAAATGTTCCAGAAAAATACCAAGGCATGTGAAACATTAGAGAACTACTTTGTTATAACTAAAGTATTACATCATTCCGCGCTATCCGACTTCGCGCATGCTTACATCTAGGAATCTTTGAATTATGAATATTACTAAATATTTAATCATTAGATAGGTTAAATTTAAATACGTGATCAATAAATCGGACAAAGCTATAACAGAAAATAGTTCTAACTTATGGAGAGCACTCCTGCTTTAGTTGGATTTTATTTTTATTTGTATTCATTTTTACTTTCTCTGCCTATTTACGAAGTGTGTACATACATATATACTTCATTTACTTAGTATTCAGAGAGTATTAGGATCATTAAAAATTTCGATTACATGTTTCCATCGGAAATATACGGTTTGAGGTCTCGAGTCGAGATAACCGATAATCAAGCCTCGCAAAATGGTCTGTGTGTGAGCCTTACTCAAAAACGATGATCGCTCTTACGAGACCGAAATTGTGTTTTATATATATATATATATATATATTATCTCTGTCTCGTAAGACCGATCATCGTTTTTGAGTAAGGCTCACACACAGGCCTTTTGCGAGGCTTGATTATCGGTTATCTATATCTATATATATATATATATATATATATATATATATATATATAGTGACGCATGAACTATGAATAATAATTTCTGAAAACTAATATTATTTAAAGGAAACCAAATGAAATTTCAAACTAAGTGGTAACTTTTGCAATTATTTTTAAGCGTGAAATGCCAAAAATATATAATGCATCCAATTGCCGCTCCGAATAGTGAAGAAATAGTTTATTGTAGACTTAACGACTGGAGGTTGCAGTCAGTGAAAATACAAATAAACATAAAATAAAATAAAAACAATTGATTTGTCCCCAATCATTGCAAGTCCCAGCCAACTTCCAAACCTACAGGCGGATGTACGGGGGAGGGAGCCTTATGGGCTGAAGCCTCCTAGAGAGAAATTTTTATAGGAGTGATATGATAGCAGACTTCAAGAGCTACAAAAAAGTTTATATAAACAATGGGCAAATTTTCAGCAGAAAAGTAGGTAATCCAAGTTTCGCGTTTTTTTAATTAAATTATATTTTTGGTTAAATGGGAGCGATAACTAAAGAAATATTTAATTTAACTAATTAACAATTGCTTCACTGTTAACTATACAGAATTTATTTCAAATGCAAATAGAGTTTATCATTGTTAAAACCATTAAAGGTGTGACTTTTGAGCAGCTAAACTAAATTAAGTTCTGTTTCAAAAAATATTATAAATTACTAGCGATTTTTGTTATCATCAACCAAGTAGACTACAGACAACCCACGTTTAAGAAAACTTCTTCGTTTAATAAGCTTTAAGGCGATATTTATTAAGCTGAGGTTTATAAGGAAAAGACGTGAGATTCGATTCAGATTTTGTAAAAGTTTATGTAGTTTTTTATAGTCACGAAAAAATAACCGTGTTTTCAGTAAAAATTACTATAATTGATTGATGTAAAGCTTTTATTTATTATTTTCCTATTATGTAAGATGTATTATAATAAATATAATTGCCTAAATACAATTTTTATTTATAAACAATTTTTTTAAATAATGATTTTTCAAATATTTTTTTGTTAAGTGGTTATGTAACTGTGTCTTTCTCCCAGTCCTGCTCATGTCTCCCTCCCTCCTACAGATCCGCCTATGGTGTGATGCACGCCGCAACAGATTTTATTTTTTAGTATAGTTTCTGTTAATGAAACTCATTTGAAATAGAGGAATAAGTTATGAATGTTTTTATTTTTTAGTATGACAGAGTTTTCAAAGTAAGGATTAATACTAAAAAAAAGGGAGGAAAACAATTTTTATTATTACTTATTCTTTTGCGAACATGGCTTCAATATTTACTTTTATTACAAATAACGTGACTCTTGGCAAAATTCAGTTTACTTTCACAAATTTATGCAATAACTAGCTGAATTTGAATAAACTGCTACCCATTTCTTGGAAAACTTCAACAGGGTCAGTAGTCTCGACCCAGGGCCGAGAGGAGGGGAGGCGTAATTACAAACCCTAGATGGATTCATCCATCTCAGCGCAGCATGCCCTCTGGAGAACTTGAATTGTTTAAAATGAATTCATAAATATATTAAAACGTTTTAAATGTTCTGAACAAGAGAACTATATTTAATTACTTCATGATTTTGGTTAAATAGTGTTAATTTTGTTTTGAATACTTGTTTACTGATAGACAATACCGTCAAAAGGCAAGAGGAATAAGTGTAAACAGTTTTAAATAATAATAATAAAATAAGGACTAACACTACAATAGCATACATAATAAATATATAATATATTATAATAAAATAATAATGACTTTTTATTGAAAATAAAAATTGACATTAAGAGAATAATAACTTCTTAAAAAAAAAAAATAAATAAAGGTTGCCTTGTGCACATATACATTTATACATTATATTATTATTAACATCCGCCTGAATCTTGGTAAATAGTTTCGTCTCATCGTAACCTACAACTATTTTATTAACGAAAAATTTTGGAATTGGGGCGTTTTTAATCTGGAGGGAGGCAAACTTCCTCTATTTAATTAGTAAAAATTCGTAAATTCTCATTTGCTTCCTACTAAAAAATATTGAGACGTTTGGTTCAAAAATTTAAGCATGTACCCCCAAAATTTCAAAATAACGAGATTATATAGGACAAACGGCCCAATATTTTTGCAGGCCACCTTTTTTATCGATTTCGTAATCAAATTATCTTATGATTCAAGTAGAAAGCAAATGAGTTTTTACGAGTTTTTAGTACCTAATTAAATAGACAAAGTTTATGAAATTTCAGGTGGATGTTAATAATTCGATTAAAGGGGTCTGTACCATGGGCTATAAACAAAAGTTTTACTTTTGGGGTCGTTTTTAATTCGCTACCGCAAATCACTTGTCAATAAAAACATGTGATTTCTTTGTCACTGTTTACATACTTGACATTAACTATCGTTAATAACCTCATTTTCAAATAAAGAAATAAACAGGTATATGTTTTTTAACCAACAACAAATACAACTGACAACATTGTATATATTTATTTTAAATTAATATAAACACTAAAAGGAGAACAAACATTTTATTTTGCTCATGAAGGAGGCCAATAGCCACTTATGTTTTCTTTGACAGCGACGACGTTTTCTCTTGCCTTCTGCGCCAAATTCTAAGCAGCAGGGGCTCTTAACACGAAGATGGGGCCCGGCGCTCAAGTTTTACCTTCTATATAAAAAAAATGCATACATTATATAATATCAGTACATAATATTTATGTTTCATACATTATAAAGGGTGATGGGTTTCAGTGGTGAATTTCATATTTGATGGTTCATGGGAAAATCTGGTTTCTTTCAACAGCCCTTTCCCGATCATGTTACGAATACTTTAAGACAACTGATTAAAATAATATTTTTGGTTATTAGTCCTAATTTAAAGAATGATACTGGGCAATAAACCAGTCCCGCCGTAGGATGTAATGAGGGACCACAAGATATTTTGGTGAAATATTTTTTCTAGAGTTTTCATTTTAAAATAAACCCAAGTTAGAACAGCATTCTGCTTTGTTGTACCAGCACATATATCAGTACTAGTTCCGAATAGCTATTCCAATCGGCTGTTCAGGATCACTTTGAGCAAATTGTCGATGGAATTACGATACAACCTTCGTAGCAGAAGGTTTATGTGAAGTCAAGTTAGATTAGCTTAGGCATGGCTTGTTACTAGAAATTCTTAGGTCTGAATATAACTGATACTGAATATAACAGATACTTTTTAGATCTGAGACTAACAGGACATGCCCTACTCTGCCTCGAAGAACTAGTGAGACCGAAAAGTAGAGAGTTGACCACGCCCCTGGCTAACCTGGTTGACACAGATGTTATATAGTGGCTTTCCTACTTTTTTGTTAATTATCTAAAAAACATTCGTTTAATCGTTAACATTGACGGAATATTAAATGTCGTAATTGAAGCTCAATTCGAAATTATTGATAAATTATGATCTAAATCGTAAGGATCTCAAGATTGAGTGTTATCAGAAGTACGGGCTTTGGGGCTGAAGCGTTTCCCCAAAATGGTAAAAAATAACCATGTTTTATGGAAAAAAATATTTAAAAATTAGCTCTTAAAGTTTTATTGTTTGTGTAATTACATTTAAAATGAGTTTAGGAATCAATTAAACACTATTTCATATAGGTATTTAGTTTCTTTCTTTTTTTCCAAAGTAATTATCGTTATTCTTATGAAAAAAATCTTTCAGACTGATGCCCTCCTCCCAAAATTGAATCCTGGATCCGCTAGTGATCAGATGTAGAGTCTTAATGTAGGTATTATTCAAAAAACTAAGTTTTCCATAACTTTAAATTAAATTATTAAAGTTTAATATTAAAAAATAAATATAGCTAGTCCTCCTAGTTTCGAACGTCCATGAATCGAAAATATATAAGTTGAGAAAACTTTAATCTAATTAAATTGTTCCAAAAACAGGATGCTTTGATAAAATATTGAACAGTACCAATTTTCCAATAAACCCCACCACCGGGAGTATCATCATTTTGAGAAAAACTGCTGCTAGGGTAAAGGCACCCATTATTGATATATTACCAATTATTGATACTAGTAACTTCAATTTGATAAATTTGTTCTTGCGCCATTGACCTTGGGAAGGTGGGCACCCCTGAGATGCTCTTACATCAATTGAAATGATAACAACTAAAGTATGATGACATTGGCCTGAGTGTATTGTAATGTTATTGTGAGTCAAATGGGAGCCGGACCAATGAGAAACATGATCCAGGCCTTTCAAAAATATGGAAATGTAAGGTAATTTAGATTTTAAAGTAATTTGTATAATATTATATGAGAGAAATGTTGCGATAGTGAGTCAATACACTCGAGTGAGTCAATACACTCAACGTGCAAAGAGGCTTTTGACGGTGATGATTGTCGAGCCTGTTCAAGCGTTGCCAGCTTTAACATTCTTGAATA